AAAAGTACTACTTTGGGGCCGGGGAGATGGCTCAGTAGGATAAGCGCTTGACTGGCAAACACAAGGATCTGAGTTCAATCCCCGGTTCTGAAAAAAAAAAAAAAAAATACTACTTTAGGAAGTATATTTAAATTGTACCAAAGTAGAATTTGAAAGCAGGGGCCAGGGGTTTGATCCCCCGGCCTGCCGTGCCAGCCCTGCCCCCGGGGTGTGCTGAACCAGCAATTGAAGCTGGGTGTGGTGGCATGCACCTGTAATCCTAGCATTTGGGAGGCTGTAAACAGGAGAATCACTACTCCAGTAGTGAGACCCTGAACACCCTGTAGAATGTTCCCTAAAATAAAAATTTTAAAACCACACAAAAAACAAAATTTGATAGAGGGTCCTTTCTAGTTTTTATTTCCTTATAGCCTTATTAATCAAGACTATCCAGTTGGCTGTGGTAGTAAGTACCATAATCCAGTACCTGAGAGGAAGAGGCAGTAAGGCCAGCCTAGACTTCAGAGCGAGACCCTGTCTAAAGAAAATTATATGAAGTGAATTGATCAAGGATATGAATCTTGGGCCAGCAAGATAGCTCAGTGGACTAAGAGCCTGCTTTGGCAAGTGCAGTGACCAGGATTTGATCCCTGGTCCCATATGCCACACCAGCCCCACCCCGGGGCATGCTGAGCTGGCGACCAAGTCTGGGCTTGGTAATGCACACCTGTAATCCCAGTGCTGGAGAGGCTGGAAACAGGAGGATCACTACACAGTCCGAGCTGTGTAGTGAGACCCTGTGCCAAATACATAACATGACAGAAGAAAAAAAAAAAAAAGATATGAATCGTTCTGCATAAGGGAAGGGGCAGGGCCATTCAAGGTGAGCATTTGCCTCAGCGTATCTGAAGCCCCCTCTTGCCAAGTGCCTAGAGCTGCACTGAGTTTACCAAGAGACTAAAAACCATAAACCCACATTGGAGACTAGGCTGGTTACACTGCCCCCAGTCATCCCAGCTCTTTCCTCACTGATTCCTGATCCCCTGTGCCCAGCACTTTCTGGTACCAATTCTGTGGTAGGTAATGTAGCCTCTTCCCCACTGGAGCCTCTTACACGGGAAAGGCCTTTTCACCCCTACCACTCCATTGTCACCTCTGAGATTTCCCTATCGCCTGTGAAAGGAGTCCTCACCACTGCTGGAATCTAATAAAGGACAGGAATTAGGATTGCAGCCCTAGCCTTTGTGTCTTGGTTACATTTCTGGGAGAAAATACCTTACACCCAAAATTAAGGAAGGAAAGGTTTATTTGGCTCACAGTTTGTGGAGGTTTCAGTCCATACCTGACTGGCTCTATGGCAGAGGGGCTGAAGTGTATGGCGGTGGAAAACAGCAAGAGCAAAAATGGCGGAGCAGCAGCAAAGGAACAGCAAGCGAGCCTCCCTTATATTGCATTCAGATTCTGGGGCGGGCTAATGCTGACATCTGTAATCCCAGCATCACTCATCCATAGTCCCAGCATTGGATCATGAATTAATGACAAACTAGAAGCCTGCCCCAAAGACTGCATGAGGCTTTGAGGGGAGAACTGGACACAAAGCTTAACACTTGGGTTTACATCATGTCTTGTTTCTTACTGTGAGACTTTCAGCAAGATTCTTAAGGACTCAGCTTTAATTCCCACATTTGTCCTTACTACCATCAAACAGTAGTGGCTCTTTCTCTATGTGGCTGGTATATGGTAATGGTATAGTGCATCTGTAGCACTGGGCTGAGTGCTATGATGTCAGGCTAGGGCCATGGTACTTGGTGTTCTCTGCATGATTCTTTACTGTGCTTAAGCATTCTTTAGAGCTGGAACACTGGACCCTGTTGTGAACAGCTATCTATGGAGCTACACAGTCCAGAGAAAAATGCCATCTGACAGAAGGCTCTAGGTTTGAAGGTTGATAGGAACCAGATGATGGTCCAAAGTAGAAAATGAAAAACTGTTACCCCCATTGCATTTAAGGGTTCTTCCTGGAACAGCTCCTAAGGAAATTGTGATCCAAGAAAGGAGTCTGTGGCCTGCCCAGTCCTGGTAGGCTGGCATCCAGCACCTCCAGGCAAGTCTGTTACTCCTTACAGAACTTATACACAGGTGCTCTGATCTGTAGGACCCTGTAATTTCCAGGATGAACACCACCACAATTACTATATAGTGTCAATTTCCACAGTAGGCGGCTTACTTGGAGTTCTTGGTTTGTGTTTGGTCTTTATTCTAAATTTGAGACAGGGTTTTTATATTGTAGTTTAGGCTGGCCTTGATTTTACTACATAGGCAATGATCTTCCTGCCTCAGTTTCTGGAGTGTTGGGGTTCCAGTGATATATACCACCACACCCAGCAACTCAGGTTATTTCAACTGGCCTGATTGATTTGCCACTGTATCTCCTAGCTTAATGTCCTGCACTCGCTATATACCATATCATAGGAAACAGGGCCACCGTTCACCTCTGTCCTGGCCAGATACAAAGGGAGCTCATGGTCCTCAACTCAATCTGCCCATTTCAGGGCCAATCTAGGGCCCTGGAGGTGTCCTTAAGATTATCATCAGTGTACAAGGACCTTGGGTGGGGAGGCACCCTAGGTAGAACTGCATTGTGAGAGCATATTTGTGAGTTAAGTCCCAAGTGGGATTCAGTGCAAGTAAGAGTTCCCCACCAAAGCTGGATGTAGGTAGAAGAACTCTCTAGCATCTTGGATGTCCTCACCACATCCAAAGCCAATCAGGTCTGACGTTGCTGGCCAGAGAGCGAAAGCTTCGATGAATAGCCCCATCACATCCTTTCAGGGATACCACCCAGTTGGTCAGCTGCATGAGTGACCTGGAGCTATCACCATCTGAGCCTGCCCTACTGGAACTTGGACCCCTCCCTCCAACCCTCTAAGATCTTGTGCACTCAACTCTTGGCAACGGTAGTGAGTGGCACTGTATCCTGCCCTTTGGCCTTACTGAGCAGTGCTGCTGCCACGCTGACTTTCTCACTGTGTGGACCCTGTGCATCTCACCAAAGGTGTGTTGCTGGCAGCACTCAGCATGGACCTTGGACTCTTGGCTGCCTAGTTCCTATACTGGCACACACGTGTAGGCAGAGAGCTGGGTGTTGCATCCCCCTGGATGACAGGACATCCTGAGGCTGGGGCTGGGTGCCAGGCATCGGGCAGCATCCTCCCATGTGTGCAAGAAATGTGGGCACCCCTTCTCTAAATTGTGCCTTCCAGGGCTGGGGAAATAGCTTGGCAGTCTAAGTGCCTGCCTAGCTTTGATGCATGGTATGCTAGTGCACACCTATAACCTCAACATTAAGGGAGGCTGAGACAGGGCGATAACTACCAGTCTCAACTGTACTGAGACCCTGTGTCAAGTAAAATAAATAAATCAAGGCTTCCTAGAGCCCTGGGAGGTTCTGGCGGAGGGGGTTATGGGCCTGTTCTCTGCGCTGCCTGCTCATATCCTTCCTTAACCCAGAACTGCTTTTTACCATTTCTCTTGGCACACAGAGCCAGTTGCCACCAAAAAGTAGGCCTGGCTAAGTGCTGGGTGGGCCAGAGCCTCTGCACATAAGAGCTTCCAAGCACCAGTTCCCCTCACCTGGCTTGGGGTGCAAGCAGCAGAATGTGAATCCAGTATGATACAGTCCACTGGGGCAAGGACTGTTGGCCTCCTGGGCTGCCTCCCCTCAAGGCCTAATAGACTCACAATAAATGTTTGTGCAAGAAGAGAACAAGTTATGGTTTGCACAAGTCTGGAGGGGACAAATCCTGGCCTGAGCCTGGAGTTATTTGATTAGCCAGTAGCCCTGTGGCATGGGATTGTCAAGCTCTGTATCTCACAAAATTTCTCCACTGCTTGTGCCCCTAAGCCAGCACCTGTCACTGGGGGGGAGGGGAGCAGCACTGTCCTGAAGAGCTGCAGGTGAGGGCAAAAGGAGTGCGGCAGAGACTAAAAAGGTGGGCAGCATAAAAAGCTGGGACATGGGGCTGGGGAGATGGCTCAGTATAATAAGTGCTTGCCTGGCAAGCACAAGAGCCTGAGTTCAATCCCTGGTTCCGAAAAAAATAAATAAATAAAAATTAAAAGCTGGGACAAGTGGCTCTACTGGGAGCAATGGGCCTCACCCATAGATTATGGTGAGGGCTTTGTCCAGCTCCCATCACACCATCTGAGAGAGCAGGCCTGAGAACCCCAGTGTACATACAGAGGGTAAGTCTGGAGAGAATCTGTGTCCCCTAAGAGCTGGTAACAAAATGGCCCTGTAGGCCCTAGCCTCTCCCTTCCCCTGCTAAGTTGATCATCACTGAGCCCCAGTCACCTACTTGACCCACACCAGAAGCCAGCAGATGTTCTGTAAAACCCAGCTCACAGGGAGACTAGGCTGAAGACAGAGCTGCATGCAAGACCTCTGGCAGCAGTTCTGAAGCCTGGCTTTCCTGGGAGACCTGTTGAGCTCAGTGGGATCCTGTGACAGGCCTGGGCCTTTCTAATGCTCCCAAATGACAGACCTTAGCCCCTGTGTGCCCATCAAGGATCTTTATATCCCAGTGGGGTTTGGAGCTAGAGGTATAGAAGGACCTTAAAGGTTATTAGTTTTGTTTGTTTTGGGGGGGCTGCTCAGGTTGCCTTCAGAGCAGGTCTGGTTTGCCTTGAGGATGAGGGGATCGAACCACAGCATCCTGAGCCTGACTGCTTTGTTTCAGTAGGCACTTAAACACCTGAGCTAATGGGAAGGCCTCTGAGGGTTATTAGGAAGAAAACTTTCTGTAGATAACCTATCCTAGAGCACAGTGTAAGACCACAACAGCTTATTGTAAAGGGAATGTTTTTACTTATTGGGAAGCTGAAGAGCAGTCATGGCTACTAGACATGAAGAGACTGGCCAGTAGGCCCTCCAGTTTGCCAGGCTCATATCCATCCTTACATGTCAGGCCCAAGAAAGTGCTGGAGCTAGGGAGTCAGTTGGTCCAGGAAAAAAGCCAGGGCCCAGCACCCTTCTAGGCCTTCCTGCTGCATGTGCCCCTTTGGCTTGCCTTGGGAGACACCAATGTCCTCTTTCTCTCCCTGTCCCAAATAGCACACTTCTGCTCCTCTTCCTCTGTTGTTCTTATAGCACCTCTGTTGTGGTCCAGGGTGGCAGCTCTGCCTACAGAGCCATACCCATATGACCTCCACTAGCTAGCTAGAGGCCCACCCTGGAATCAGCCTTCCTTCCAAAAGTGTGAGAATTCATGTATCAGGGCTGCTCTGGAGATGTAATATGTTCCCTGCCTCCATATAAATGGGGCCAACCCTTAATACTTCTTGGGATGCTTGATCCCCCCTCTGCCAAGGACCTAAAGGTGGTAGGGAAGGAGTTTTTTCTGTCTTGAATGATCCCTGATGTCTGTTGGCTACTGCCTGTTTCCCTGCCCAGACCTGGTAGAGTGTGGGCCAGCAGGCTCAAGGTTCTAACATGTTCATTTGTGACCAGCCCCTCCACATGGGTTAGACCTCACCCTCTACCCCTCCATAGACTTGCTGAAGACCTGACCAAACTCTGAATCCCAAGTGACCACTTGATGGACCATCCCATCTTCCTAGAGCATTCATTTTTCTCCCTGCTAGCTCCAACTTCTGAGTCATAATGATAACAAAACTAGACATTCTGAGATTCAAAGATGCTTTAGCACATTTTTTTTTATTTTGTGTGTGTGTGTGTGTGTGTGTGTGTGTGTGTGTGTGTGTGTGTGTGTGTGTGTGTGTGTGTGTGTGTGTGGCCAGCTGAGCCCACCAGGGGGTGGGGCTGGCTGGCATGTGGTGCTGGGGAATGAACCCCGGTCCCTGTGCTTTGCTAAGCTTGTTCTGAGTAGGTGCTTTAGACTACTGAGCCATCTCACCAGCCCTAGCACAAAATTTTGGCTATATCCAGCTGAGCTCAAATCTGCCATAGTAATTCCAGTTTAGACTCATTTCCACATGTGCTCATCAGATACTCGAAGCAAAAATGCCACAGAGGAAGCTGAATCACAAGTTGGTGAGTGGGGAAAGTGAGGATTCCAAGCTACATAGCCAGAAATTGGTGCAGCTTGGATTCAAAATCAGACCAGAACGCAACCCTGGGTTCTTTCTGGGAGAACAGACTGAAGCTTTGAGGACAGGACCCTACTAGCCCTACTTGGGGTGCCCCCCTTAACCAGGGCTCAACCGTTAAACCCAAGGCCCTCCTCCCTCTGTGATGGCCCTCAGTGAAGCAATGGCCAAGAGCCCCCAACCCAGCACCTTGGCACAACCTCAAGAGCAGCCAAGGCCTGGGACCCTGCTGGGTGGTCCCCCACGGGCTGCAGGGCTGAGCTCCCCCCCATCCCTCCGCCAGCGCATTCCAGGCTCCCCAGGCCCCTCCCCCGGCTCCGGGGCCTCCCAGCCCCCTCCCCCGCTGGCCCAGCCTACATCTGAATCTGCTTCTGATTCCCGCTGTGCAAAGGAGGACCCCTCCCCTTCCCTCCCTCCTCCTTCCCGGCTGGAGCAGCCCCGCCCTTGGTTGGGCTCTGGCTAGCGACTGCTGCGCCCCCCACCTCTTCCTGGCACAGATCACTAGCCTTTGCTGCAGCCATAAGGAGGCTGCGGCCCGGGCGCCCCAGGCCCCGCCTGCCCTCGGCCCTTGCCGGGAGGCCGGGAGACCTGCTCCGCCTGGCCCACGGTGGGTGAGTGCGAGCGGAGCATCGGGCAGCGGGTGGGACCTCTACGGGCGGAGGCATCGGGAGCGAGGGCAACGCCTGTCAACGCTCCAGGCCCAGCAGGAGGACGCCAACATCCCCTCTGCCTCTCAGCCCAGGGCGGGCCTCAGCTGCTCCCACCTCTGGGTTGGGGCTGCCTAGGGGCTCTGCTTGCACCATACTACTGGCAGGAGGGCAGACCCTAGGACCAGCTCTCCCACGCCAACGGCAGAGCTGAAGGGGCCTGGCCAACTGGCTGACCCCCAGTGCTCCAGCCATGCTCGGCTTGCCCTGGGTGCTGCTGCTGACCTCAGGCACGCTCTCCATGGCGATGAGTCCTGGGCTGCCAGCGCCTGCTGACCCCTGCTATGATGAGGGGGGCTCACCCCGCAGCTGCATGCCGGGCTTGGTAAACGCAGCTCTGGGCCGCGAGGTACTTGCGTCCAGCACATGTGGGCGTCCAGCCACTCGGGCCTGTGATGCCTCAGACCCGCGGCGGGCACATCCTGCTACTCTCCTGACATTGGCTGGGGGCTCAACCAACTCTGTGTGCTGGCGCTCTGAAGTGCTGCATCGAGTGCCCCTCAATGTGACTCTCACGGTGCCTCTGGGCAAGGCTTTTGAGTTGGTCTTTGTGAGCCTGCGCTTCTGCTCAGCTCCCCCAGCCTCTGTGGCCCTGCTCAAGTCCCAGGACCATGGCCACAGCTGGGCTCCACTCGGCTTCTTCTCCTCCCACTGTGGCCTGGACTATGGGCGTTCACCTGCTCCATCGGATGGCCCTACCGGCCCAGGGCCTGAAGCCCTGTGCTTCCCTGCACCCCAGGCTCACCCTGATGGTGGTGGCCTTATGGCCTTCAGCGTGCAGGATGGTAGCCCACCAGTCCTGGATCTGGACAGCAGCCCGGTGCTCCAAGACTGGGTGACCGCCACAGATATCCGCATATTGCTCACAAGGCCTACTATGCCAGGGGATACCAGGGACTTGGATGCCATAGTCCCTTACTCCTATTCAGCTACTGAACTGCAGGTGGGCGGGCGCTGCAAGTGCAATGGGCATGCTTCACGGTGCCTGCTGGATGCTCAGGGCCACCTGATCTGCGACTGCCGACATGGCACGGAGGGCCCTGACTGCGGCCGCTGCAAGCCCTTCTACTGCGACAGGCCATGGCAGCGGGCCACGGCCAGGGAAGCCCACGCCTGCCTTGGTGAGGCCTTGGAGGGTGGCCTGGGGACCTCAGACCAGACAGGCCAGCCCCTGACCCATCCCTTCCTGCAGCTTGTTCCTGCAATGGCCATGCCAGACGATGCCGTTTCAACATGGAGTTGTACCGCTTGTCTGGCCGCCGAAGTGGAGGTGTCTGCCTCAATTGCCGGCATAATACTGCTGGTCGTCACTGCCATTACTGCCAGGAGGGCTTCTATCGTGACCCAGGCCGTGCTCTGAGTGACCGCCGTGCTTGCAGAGGTGAGCTAGTAACCTGCATGCTGTCACACTGGTTTCTCAGGACCCCAGGTGGGCCTCTGACCAAGCCCTTCCCATCTCTGTCCTCAGCTTGTGACTGTCACCCTGTTGGTGCTGCTGGCAAAACCTGCAACCAGACCACAGGCCAGTGTCCCTGCAAGGATGGTGTCACTGGCCTTACCTGCAACCGTTGTGCTGCTGGCTTCCAGCAGAGCCGCTCACCCGTGGCACCCTGTGTTAGTGAGTGACCCTGCCTTGCCTCAGCCACCTCAACTCCTGGCTGTTGCCTATCTGTCCCTTGAGGCCTGAAGGTTGCCCTGCATCCCCATCGCAGGCCGTTTTCCCACCCTCTCTGCAGAAACCCCAGTGCCTGGACCCACTGAGGAGAGCAGCCCTGTAGAACCACAGGGTGAGTGGACAAAGAATAGGGTTCCAGACTGGTATGACCTTTGGGGAGGAAGTTTCAAGCAGGAGAGGGAACGGGAGGGGGTTCCTGGGAATCTGCCAGCCTCCTCCCCTCTTCTATAGACTGCGAGTCCCACTGCAGACCCACCCATGGCAGCTACCGCATCAGCCTGAAGAAGTTCTGCCGGAAAGACTATGGTAGGCTACCCCAGGACTCCAAGTCCAGGCCCTTCACTTTCCTTTCCCTCAACTTCTTCCTATCCTTCCGTCCAGCAGGTCCCTGACTGTTGCTGACCCCGCCCTTTGTCTTTCACCCACCCCCGTTTGTGTCCTCCGCGACCTGGGTGGGCGTTCTGTGTCCTCCCTGTAGGGCCCCAAACTTGATCAGCCTTGACCCGCCTGAGTCCGCCTGCTTTCCCCCTCCTTGCAGCGGTGCAGGTGGCAGTGAACGCGCTCGGCGAGGCACACGGTGCGTGGACGCGCTTCCCCGTGGCAGTGCTTGCAGTGTTCCGGAGCGGAGAGGAGCGCGCGCGGCGTGGAAGCAACTCTCTCTGGGTGCCGGCTCGCGACGCGGCCTGCGGCTGCCCGCGCCTACTTCCGGGACGCCGCTACCTGCTGCTGGGAAGTGGGCCGGGGGCCACCGCCGGGGGCCGGGGACCTGGACTCAGCGCCGCCCGTGGGAGTCTCGTATTGCCCTGGAGGGACGCGTGGACGCGGCGCTTGCGAAGGCTACAGCGGCGCGAGCGACGGGGGCGCTGCGGAGCCGCCTGAGTCCTGGAGGGTGGGGTGGGGGACGCGTTCCCACATAGCGGCGCGTAGTCACCTGTGTACTCGACTGCATTTTGCTTCGGGCGCGCAGCCATCTGGGCCCCCACACTCTCCCTCCCTTTGTGCCTCATGCCTGGGTCACACAGAGATGAATGATGGCTTAGAAGAGCTGCTGGGAGGTGTCTTGCTCAGCTGTAACTCTCAAAGGCTTCCATGATAAGCCATCCTTCCCACACGTTTCACACACCGGCGCTGTCTGCTCTGTACAAGGGCTACCTCGGCATCCGATACCCTACAAGGCTGAATCCTTTTGCAGTGCCGAGACCCCTCAGGGGTTTTGAGAACAGGCCACTGTACTTCAACCCCCTGATGCTATGACCGGCAGAGAGCGCTCTGACCCCAAAAGGACTGAGGCCACCCTGGACAGCTGTGAACTTCTATGGGTGGGTGACCCAAATCCAGTCCCCAAACTGAGAATCCCTGCCTCTTGCAGAGGGCACTAAACTCCAGCATGAGGACCACTGCCTCTGTCAAATGGTGGTCTCTAGGCTGCTCTGACTAGGATGCCAGGCTAGTGTCCATTTCCCCATTCTGGTCTCCCAGATACCGTCTGCAGCGTCTCCGAGCCCTGGCTTTAGGATTCTACCGCCCAGGACCCCATCCCCAGATCTCCGCGCACCCCTTTTTCGCTTTCTTTAAATAGGACGTGGCAGATGTGCAGTCATGGTCCACCCGTGACCTTTGCGGACGGCGATTCTGGCTGGCAGCTGTCTGGACTCTGGATGCTCGAGGCACCGCCTCATTGAGCTCTCCCCTTGCACCCCGCATAAACCCCCTCCCCTGCGCTCCGTACTGCTGTTTTACGGGTTCTTCTCTCGCCTTGGCCGCCTCCGAGTGCCATTGCGCATGCCCAGAGCCGGCTAGGCCGAAACGCGGGGCTCTCGAGGTGGGCGGCCGGCGGCGCGTGCTCAACAGGGGCGGGGCCGCCTAGGCGCGTGCGCAGAAGGTCGGGCGCTGTCGGGACAAGCTGAGGAGAACGGTGCGGCGCGTGGAGGTGGGTGCGTGGCGGGGAGGCGGGGGCGTGGCGGTCGGGTACGGGGTTAGGGGAGCGCCGCTCTGACGGCGCTGGGGCCAGCAGAACAAACCACGCTAGGAGCCGCGGCTGCGTCGCCGCGCCAGTCTGAGAGGTTTGGGAGCCCGGCACCGCGCAGAGGTCGTGATGCGGGCCCTGGAGCCAGACTCTCCACCCTCGGACCGGCCAGCCTACCCAGCTCTCTCCCCACCCCACCCCCTCGCCCTGGGTCTCCTGGCCCAGGGCGAGGTATCTCCGGAAAGAAGTGTCTTTTTTATTTTTTTATTTTTTTTATTCTTTCCTTGAAGAATTTTCCTCCTCTGCCGGTTAGGAAGTCCTCTTCTAGACTTGGTCTGATACCTTGTGCCCTTGGAAGATGTAAAGCTTCTTCAGAGCTGAGCGCATCACTTGTCCAGCATGACATCCTATCCACCTGACGCATAGGTTTCTTCTTAGCCTTGGAGACCTGTCTGGAAGGTGCCCTATGTCTGGCTACCGTGTTAGGCAGCAGCACTCTTTCTGGCCAAGCTCTGGGAAGTAGGAGCAGGGACCCCAACCCTGTGATCTGCATCCGTGAGGAAGCACAGCTAGTGGGCAAAGCTGGAACAGGTTGAGGTACACCTATCAAGGTCCCCTCCAGGCAGGAGTACTGATAGCAGAAGCCTTTGACATCAAGTACTGTGTGGAAGGAGTTGTGCTGTAGCCCTCCTGGATGAAGACTTGCCTTGATTGTCTAAATCACCTGAATCAGGGCTGGGGAGATAGCTCAGTAGAATAAGCGCTTGCCTGGCAAGCGCAAGGCCCTGAGTTCAATCCCCTGTACCGAAAAAAAAAAAAAAAAAAAATCACCTGAATCATATGCAGACACAAGCAGGCTGGTAGTGGCAGTGGTGGTGTTGTTGTTCCCCAGCAGCTTATCCTTAGCAGGAGTCTTGAAAGGTTGGAAGTCTGTCTGCCTTCCCAGGGTGAATGAAAATACTTTTGTTGTGTATTTGTTCCAAAATCAGCAGATAACTCTGAGCAATTTACAGAACCATCCCATAATGTCATGAGGTGCGATTTCATCTATTTGTGGGCAAAGAAGAGCTCCATTTTCACTCTGTCCCCAGCACATCGTAGGCACCTATAAATGTTTGCTCAATTGCTTTGAAGTGAGCAGATTCTTTCACTTTAAGGGAAAGACAGCCCAGATAGAACTGCTCAAGAAAGCTTTTACAGTTACTGTTCATAGCTGGGGTATGACTTCTGCATGTGCTTCCTCTTATTCTGAACGTTGATCCTCTCCTAATCTCTTCAGCACTGAGATAAAGCCTTTATGGAAAGTACTAGGTAGCAAGTGTTCTATTTAGAATTCTGTCGTAGCCTGTGAACAGGGCTGGAGCCACATCCTGACCACTTTTGTTTCCCCTTTACTTGGCATGGTGTGGGCCAGGGGCTCTCTTAATGATTGTTGAAATCAAGGTGGTGTTGTCAGAGTGATGAATGTGAGCTAGAGAATTGGTACAGTAGCATTCAACTGGATTAAGGGTGACCTAGGATGCAGAAGTAACATAGGCAGGGTGTTCGTAACAATAATAAAACCTCCTATGTCTACAAATTCATCTGCAGGTGGGCCTTGCTGGTTGTTCCTTCCCTTCCTGGGCTGTCTAGCAGGTCAGAGTGACCTTGGGCATGCAGTGTTGCTCCTAATCCTCATAAGAGATTGAGCCAACCTCAGAAGACATATTTAAGTGTTTACTTTTGGATGGTTTCTGGTTTAAAGTGCATAGGACAATGAAGCAGGTTGTAAAAAAGCACTTAACATTTACCCTGTTCAATGTTTTACCTGTTTGAGCATTGAACATACCTTTTCTGTTATGACAACTTTGTAAATGGAAGAAAGAAACCCTTTTCAAGTTGAAGCAGCAGTTTCAGTGGCTGCAGCATCAACTTCTAAATGGAGATAATATCAAAGAAGTAGAACCTTGGGCTTTTTACTGAGAACCAACCTAAGTTCATTATCTGATGAATTTCTTTGTTCTTTCAATATGGATTTATTGAATTGAGATTTTATGTGAGGAGGAGGCACTGTGCTAGACAGGGTGGTAGATATGATTTCTTCTTGGCTTTTATTTATTTTTATTATGATTTTGCTCTCAGCCTTTTTTGTCTTTTGAAACAGGGTCTCACTATGCAGCTCAGGCTGGCCTTGAGCTCTCTTTGTAGCTCAGGCTGCTCTCAACTTTGCAACAATCCTGCTGCTTTAGCTTTCCAAGTGAGTGCTGGGATTACAGGTATGCACACCATACCTCACTCTGTAGGCCTTTGGGGAGCTTACTAACAGTGCAGTGAGAAAACAAACATAGTGATAGATGCCTCTCAAAGAGGTAGGGAGAATTTGCTGTGGGTATAGATGAACAGTGTCTAGACCCTGTGGAGATGGAGAGGGGTGTAGGGATTCAGAGAAAGATTTGAGCTTTTTCTTTTCTTTTCTTTTC